AGACAAATTTAAAGTAATGGCTTCATTCGATTTTCGTACTTTCTCTCAAAAACATTTTGTTTTCGGAAATTTCCTGATTTCTTTTAAGACAAATTTCCTGGTTTTTGGAAAAACTTGAGTTTTAACCTTAAAATTGTCGAGTCACTTAGAGAGAGAAGCCAATAAAACTTACTAGAAGCAGAGTGGAGGCAAAGAAGCTCGATAACTTGAGATCCAAATGTGAAGGTGGTCAGCTGGTAACTGCACCATTTCATTCACCACTGTGATTTCTGAACGGAAATTATACGGAAGAAGAGCAACTGCAATATCAAAAGAAGAAAACCCAGAAAAATGAAAGGGACAGCGTCCTTAATCTTACTTGTCATCGATGAAGAAAGATTCGTCCAAGCAAACTATGTCATCTTCTCCTCCTCCTCCTCCTCCACCTCCTTCCATCTTAAATATCCGCTGTAGGAACGTGAAACTCGTTTCTTGCTTCTTCCACAACGAGTCTAATGTCTGTGTAGGCGCCGGCTTCTGCTTCTCTATGAGTTTTGTGCTATCGTACTGTCGCTAGCGACGACACAATTGAGTATTTCACTCGTTCAACAGGCCGGAATTACTGGTCAATTTGGATTTCGAGGGTTTTAATATATTTTTTTTTAGTGATAAATTTTAAAAGATTTTGGAAAGTATTATTGACACTCTAAAAATCTTATTCTATATTCCTTATAAATGTATTTTTTTTTTCTAATATAGAAAGTTTAGAGTGTAGAATAAGATTTTTGGAGTGCTAATAACAATTCCCAAGATTTTAATAGACTTTATAATTTTATATGGATTTTAGAAGATTTATATGGATTTCCATTATGATTTTTGTAGGTTTGTATGGATTTCTTCTATGCATTTCTTAGGATTTTGAAAAAAAATGAAAGTCACACGCAGAGCCATCGGATCATTTATGACGAAATCATGCAGCTGTGACTCAAACAACTCCAATTTTCCAATGTGTGTTCAGTTATGGGTCTCCTCTGTCTATAACCTTCCTTCATTCAGTCTAGTAGACCGACCACAAGCCACAAGCATATTCACCATTCCTAAACTTCAATGCACACTCTGGCTTCCTGCCCTTCCAGTACCCACCAAGCATAACATTAGTAACCACATTTCATTAATTTCCGGCAAGCTCCACTTCCCCACAACAACAATACATATGAATCAACAAATTTTGTACATGCAACACAGAGTCCACCCCGAAACCAGAAAGTATAGCTATTGGGAACAAAGCTCGGCCCAACGCCGAACTCACTGAGTTTGTACAAGTTGTGTGGGTTTGGGGTAATGGAGATTATGATGATTTTTGGCGATTTGAGGTGATTTTCCATTGAAAATTGGCTTCGTGTGAGGAGAACATGGAAGAAGAAAACTGATTGCAGCGATATGTTAAAAAAAATATTGAATCACCAGATCTCAGGTAGGGCAAAAAATGAAGGAAGACTGTTCCTCTTCTGAGAGAAGAGAGAAATTTTTGGTCTTGAAATGAAATCCTAGGTTGAAGGTTGGATTGTTGAAGGCATTTGGTATTTATACCATCACCTTCAAATCCAATAAAATTCATCACTCATTAAAATCTAGCAAATCTTTGGTGTTTTGACTATACCTAAACATGTGTGGACATTTTTAAAATCTTAATCGACTACCTCTGAATTTGAATGTATTTTTAAAATCCTTTTAAATCCTAATTTGACTACAACATGATTTCAAAATCCTCATTTAAAATCCTATTTGACTACTATCAGATTTTAAAGTCTATTAAAATCTTATCAACTCCTAATTTGACTACTCCCTCCTACAATTTGTGATAGATGGGCTTAAAGTTCAACCAAAACACAAAACCTTACATAAAACAAAGCAAAACATAAAAAATAAAACATGCTCAAGCAAACAAGAGCTACAATCCAAAACACAAAGGAAAAAATAAAACAACAAAAACCATAATCTCTAGCAGCGAAAAGACCACTGCCGTTGTCGCTTCCACCACAAAAACCCTAGTACTTTTTAGGCCCACTATTAATATTAAAAAGCGTTTGTTTGCTCTCACTAATTACTATTGGACTATCATGCAGCAGGACTAATCTTAATGAGACTAGCCCGGATTCGCTTCGACTAAGTCCTTCACAAGAAGTTCTTAGCGAAGCCCCCATTAGGCAGGGGACTGCCAAGACCGTTCGCGTCTTCCTCCTTGCGTCCTCGTCCAGTCGTCCTCCTCGCGGTCTCGTCCTCGTGCTGCTTGACCGACTTCGCCGGACCACCCACCGACGGCGATGGTGATGATCGTCTACCAGTATACGAGTTCTCGGCTCTGCGCTTCTTCGACTTCATAAAGCACGACAGCGACGATGACAGGCGCAAGGCCGAGCTATGGTTCGACTCCGCTCTGGCCTATGCTCCTCACGTATGTCTGCTTCCCTAATTCTTCTTTCTTGAATTACAGTTGATTCGGACTTTAGGGCCTTTTGCTTTTCTTTCTCAGAATTGCGCATATTCTGTATTGGATTGTTTGTATGATTTCTCAATTGGGTTTCTGGAATTGTTTGTTTGATTTCTCAATTGGATTTATGGAAGTTTCTTTGATTTCTCAATCGGGTTTCTGGAAGTTTCTTTGATTTCTCAATTGGGTTTCTGGAATTGTTTCGTAGATTTCTCAATTAGGTTTCTTGAATTGTTTCTTTGATTTCTCAATTGTGTTTAGATACAACTCATATGTCAAGGCTAGAAGCAGGATAGATCAGCTGAAGAGATTGGGTCACAGTGTGGACAACGTTTGGCATGTTTCTCTGTTTAGAGCTTACAGAATTTATTTTCGGGTTTGCAGATTTCCATGATAGAGTAATATGCATAGTTGTCGCCTCCTTACAGTGACTGAATTTGTGTTTTCAGGTCGACTTCATCTTAATGGGTTGTACTTTCATGTCTGTTGCCCGCGGATTACCGTGATTACTTCATTAGAAAACAGCACGATGCCTAGAATTTTCGCTTCACCATATTTAGATGAACTTAAGAGCTCACTGTTCCAGAACTTTCTATATCTCTGATTTCTGATTTGCATATCCAAACGTCCCGTACATGTTGTTTACGCTAATCTGCCCACACGCCCTTTCATTCAGACCAGTTATACTTCCAGATTCTGCAAAACTTGAATTAAAGGTGAATTTGGTTTTTCCCCATGTATCTAGCATTAACTATAGTCAAATCCAAAGGAAAAAAGAGATGATTATTATAATTGTAGCTACCGGTTGTCTGCATGGGACAGCTCATTGATTTGGACAGGTTTCAAGCGATGCTCGAAGCAATGCCTGGTTTCTTTTGATGGAAAGAGAGGGCAGCAACTCTCAAGAGGAGACGTTGTCCCAATATCTATGTGCCAACGCCCACTTCCAACAAACAGGTGATTGGTTTCGAAGCTTGATTCGTTGCCTAAACTGGAATGAAAAGGCCCTTCAAATACTCTTCATTCTTTATTAATGATTCTGTATATTATTGTACATACTGTACATTATAGGAAATCAAATGGAGAGTAACTAAATATATAGATGAACTTAAGATGTGTTCCAGAACTTCTTGTTCCTCTGATTTGCATAGTGACTTGTGACGGTGTCTTATGGCTTGAGTTTTCCCCCTTTGAGCAGGTTCTACCTCATCAAACTCCAATCCGTAATTGTTTCAAACATGATTATGGTACCCTTTTGATGGAGGAGGCCCAGCGGATCGCTAACAGGAAGCATAGATCGAAGGTATTGCCGTTATTTCGGGAGTAGGAACTAGTCATTACTTTAGGAAATTAGGTTACGAGTTTGAAGGGCCTTACTTTGTGAAACATCTTGTATGACGAGATTAAAAAAAACAAGTTTTCATACAATTTTGTAACATTATCCTAAATAAGTTGTAATTCATTGCATAACCAGTCTCTTTGATTTGAGACTCCAATACAGTTCTTTTGTTATATTCCCGAGTTCTTTTCTAAATTTGGTCTATATTTTTTACTGTGTCTCACTCATCCAATAATATTAATTTTGATAATATCTTAATAGAAAAAGAAATTAAAATGGAATTATTTTTATTATCCTGCTTCTTAGTTTGACATTGTTCCAAACGCTTCATTAAGTCAGTCTAACTTAGTCTAATCTAAGCCAGTCCAACTTAGTCCCTAAAGCTAGTCTAGTTCGAGATAGTCCGGTGCAACAAACGCACTCTTAAGGGTTAATCTCAATTTATTACCCATAAGTTTCTTGGTTTTCAACATTTGATACATCAAGTTTTTCTTTCATCCCAAAGTGCTACCAAAAGCATAATTTTGGGACACATTCATACATCGATTAAGGTTGTTGTTAAATCAGCCGTTAACTGGTGATGTGGCGTCCACGTGGATAATGGCTGAGCGCCACGTGTCAATATGGGTCAACATGGATATTTAAAAAATTTTAAAATTTCAAAATTGAAAAAAATAAACTTTGGTTCGTCTCCTACCTCTCTCGACACTCCCTTCTCTCCTCTGCACCCTCACTCTCTCACTCCCCTGATCCCTCCCCTCCACCTCCCCGTTGGAATTTCAGGGTCGTCGAAGAGCAAGGTCGTTGAAACCCGCAGGACAACGCTAATGGTGAAGGTTTAAAGCAGTAGGAATTGGAAGAGTAGCCATGGCAACATCTGTGTTTCTGGCAGCGCACAGTGTCCTCGTGGTTGCCCAGCAGCTCATCAACTTCTCTGGCGGTCAAGCCCAGCAACCCCTCCGCCTTCCAAGCCTTCAAGGTGATAATTTGGGCGTCAGGTTGGGGTTTCTACTTTTAGGTTATTAGGTTTTTAAATTTTAAATTTTAAATTAGGTTGATCTGAGGAGAGAGAAGGGAGGGGAGGTGAAGATGGTGGAAGAGATGGAGGAGGTCGGTCGGAGAGGTGAAGGGAGGGATTTGGGAAGTGAGGAAGTGAAGGTGCAAAGGAGAGAAGAGAGGGAGAAGGGAGGGAGGGTTGGGGGAAGCAGGAGACGACCCAATTTTTTAATCCACGTGGCATCCATTCATTATCTATGCGCGCGCCATGTTATTAATTAACGGCTGATTTAACAGCAACCTTAACCGATATATGAAAGTGTCCCAAAATCATGACTTCAAGTACCACTTTAGGATGAAAAAAACTTGATGTATCAAATGTTGTAAATCAATAAATTTCGGGATAGTAAGCTGAAATTAACCATAATATTAAACTCATTAGGCCCACCCTAGATATCCTCTTATGCATTTTTCTTTTTTGAACAAACAATTTTATTTATACTAAGGGGGAGGGGTGGTCTTAGCCTCACAATAGGCTAGCAATAATGTGGTTCAAATTCGCCATTGCGAGAATCGAATCTAAGACCTCTCACTTACAAGTGAAGAAGAATACTAGTAGACCTAGTACAAAATGGTAGATATCCTCTTATGTATTTAAACTTCTATGTTCATCTGAAAAAGTATGAATGAAGAATATTGTAGTTTAATTTCCTGCATTTTCTCTTTCTCCCTTTTAACAAATGGGTTCCATGGTATTGTATCTTTATCGGTTGTACTGCTACGTTCTAACGCCATCGCATAGATTTTGGGTGTATCTCAAGTTCGAATTTGCCTTATAATTGGTAGTCATTTTGTTTAACAACCAATCATACATAAAATTTAAAGGAAGTTTAATCAAAAGGGCTTCACCAAACTTTTTCTCAACCAAAAAACACCTCATAATTGTATTTAATAAAAAAAACTTAAAATTTAATGAAAAGATGAAACAAAAACATTAAAAAGTTGGCACGGGTCTTACACATCCCATCTCTCTCCCCATTCCTCACCCATCCACATCACACAAACACTATTTCTCTCCCTCCCCCACTCCACCAGTTCCCATTTATCAACTCTCTTTCTCCCTCTCCTCTTTCACCTATCCCCATCAACTTTCTCTCCTCTCGTCTATCATTTTACCCATTCTAACTTTCACTCTCATATCAAACTAATCTCACTCCATAAAATAATATATTTCAAAATAGTGATTTTAACTTTAGTTTGTGTCACTTAGTACTGCGATCTATCGGTATTCCTCTTTATTTGTAAGTAATAGGTCTTAGGTTTGATTCGCGTCAAAGATGAATTTGAACCACATTATTACTAGCCCAATGTGAGGCTTAGCCCACTCCCCCACCCCTTATTGACACACCTTGACTTGATATGTCCATTAGGACTCCAAATTGGGCTGTGCTGGCCGACACCTGGAAGGTGACGAAGCTAGAAAGTGTAGTGATGTGGAAAATGTGAATAAATTTAAACCTAAAAGTGCCTAAATATAATAGTGCGCTGGTGACCGGAAATGAACCCATTTCACATGACGTCAGAGCATAAGTAAAGTACAGTAGAGTGGATAAGGATTATACCCTCAGAAGTAGCCACCAATACTGAGATTCACTAAGAATCCTCATTGATACAACCGTTCAGGAGCTAAAACCTGGAAGGACGAAAAATAAGAGTGAGTGGGCCTGAAACTAAAGTTTTAATAAAAACCTTTTGAAAACATTATAACCCCTCACCGTAAAACTTGTATAGTTTCTAGAAAAATAATAATACTACGTAAGTATGAAAATAAACGTACAAGTGTAGTAAAAACAGAAGTATACCATGCCACAATATCTCAGCAATAATAAATGTAAGCCAGGTGTGAGATCAGTCTTAACTAACATGCTAGTTGGAGTCACCTTAATGTGACATGTACGACTGGACCTATTTCTCATCAATTTATGCTAGCACACGAATCAGAGTCACCTAGTGTAACCTGTACGACAGGCTAGGTGTAAATATGTACAATCTAGTGCTATGATCACGTGAAAGCTAGCGTTATGCGTGGGTCACCTACAAGTCGGAACCACTTATTGTGGTCTATACGACAAGCTGGCACTAAACTTGGATCCAAGGCGAGCGTGGGAGGTGAACAATCACATGAAGGCTGTGCCCTAGCCCGGGGCGGGAGCACTAACACCGAGGTGCAGCAATGATGAGCTCTAAATGAATATATGCATGCTCATATAATTCAACCATTTTAATCACATAATAACTCACCTGAACTTATCTGCGCCTCCGTATGATCATTTGGCATAACCACAAATCTCATCGCAATGCAATATTTAAATATAACACATTTAAATCATGGCATGCTATGCATAATCAATTTAAAACATTTCTGGAAAATTGTAAGGTATATATATATATATATATATATATATATATGTATATTATTAAAAGGAACAAAAAGACCTACTCACCTGAAGTCCACGCTACAACTCCCTAGCACAAATATCGAGGTGTCACAAACGATCGTCACCTAGAATAAATATCAAATCATGTCTTAGAATTTTTATCGATAGAACACTTAACTTACATAAAAAGCATCCCCCAAGGATGTTCTAGAATGATTTGAAACTCATTGTCCAAAATTCAATCGTCGGTCAAAGGTCGGCAGTAGGGCCCATAACCCTACGTAACTCAATCCGGAAGATCCACATCTCGGATTTCCGATCCGTAACTTCCAAAGATCCACATTATGTTTTTAGAACATCATACTAAAGTTTCATTACCATCCAACGGTTGGATCTCCGCCAATTGCAAATTCAAGTGACGGTTAACGTTTTATTTTACGAACTTACAAATCCAATTTGAGAAGATCTGTACGACGGATTTTCAATCCGTAAGTTTCCAAGATCCTCAAATATTATGAATAATAACCTACTAAAGTTTGGTGACGATCCAACGGTTGGATCGTCGATTCAAATAATGACCAAGTGGCAGACCATAGTGAAATTGTACCCAAACAATGGAATTTCTTTAATCGGACTTCACATATGGAATTAGGGCATCAAAACTAGCCTAGGATGGGTAGGTGGGGTCTCAACCCACACGTCGCAGCCTCGCGCCACACCACACGGCTGTCGGCCACCCCGACTCGTCGAAAAAATCAACTATTTCTAAAAATTCTCAAATTTCACAGACATGAAGATCTCAATGAGTAGAGTAAGTTTTATACTTGTGGCCAAGTCCAATTTGGCTGGGAAAAGCCCCAATTTAGCTCAAACCCGCCAGCAACCTTAAGGTTGGTGTTCTTTGATTCTCCTTCCTTGGTGTTCCAACGCCCCTACCACTGGTTAGGTCTTGTTCCTGGGTCCAAGGGAAGTTGGTTAAGGGTGGTGGTGGGTGGTGGAACTCGTTGAAACGGCGGAATTGCCGTCGAGCACCTCCAGTGCTCCAGTGGAGTTCTTCACAGTTTAGGCCTTAAAAACCCTTGATTTTTTGGTGGAGATGGAAGAGGAGAGGTTGAGGAAGAAATTGCAGGTGGAGGATGGATGCAAATCACCTGAAAAATGGTAGAGATTGGCCGAAATTTGGCCAGGTCGAAACTGGGTTTGTGGTGTGGACGGGTTGAAAGGGTAGGAGATGAGGTTCTTCTCTTTCCTTCCTAATCGGCCGATCCCTCCCTCTCATTTCTGATTGGTCTTCCTTCTCACATATCTAATTGGTCACTTAAACAAAATAGCTAATTGGTTCCCTTATTCTTGCTTAAAATCTGATTGGTTTCTTTCCCACAAGGTGAGAGTTCAATTTATTTATAACTAAACTTTAAATAACCAAATTTCAAACGTCCATAACTATACCGTTATAATCCAGACTCACAAACGGCTTTCGCTTATATGCTCGTAGTGATGAGTAGTACTACTAGGATACGCTAAAAGAATGAGTCATACATCTCTCTAACCGATGGTCAACGAAAGTCAAAATCTTTGCCTCTAGTGGCATTTTTCGTAAAACCACTATTTTAAAATTTATAAGACTTAAAATTAAGGGCGGGTTGTTACACTTAGTATAGATAATATCCTTTGTTAAAAAAAAAATTTGTTTGTTTAATTTTTTTTGTTTATTGTTTGTGTTATTTGACTATTGTTCCAT